CAAAGAACGGAGATAAAGGAACAAATAGAACCAAAACACATAAAGGGTATGTGGATTGACTACCTAAAAAAGCTCTCTGCAGAGGTAGATCAAACGACGCTAGAAACCGGAAACACCAGAAATTACCACAAATAAACAGCCAGAAATCTACAGAGGTATAAGCTTGTTAAATACTATCTAAAACTTACAATTAAAATTTTATGTTAAGTACTTTAAGTGCTAATAGATCAGAGGATAAGTTTAGCAGATGAACAACAGGGTTTTTCATAGTGGAAGATCATGTACATATGCAATATTCGTTATAAAGCAAATTACTGAGAAATCACTAGAGTGTAATAGACCAGCATTTCTGTGTCTGATTGACCAAAAGAAAGCGTTTAACAGAGTAAGACTCAAAGATGTAATCCATCTTCTCTATAATAAAGAAGCTCCCCTAAATATTATGAAAACTACCGAAAATATCTACCAAAACAACTAAATGAAGTCTCAATAGATTTACAACTTACAGAACCTATAGAAATAGGCAGCGGAATAAGACAAGGGGTTTCATTGAGCCCCATGCTCTTCAATTTGATCATGGATGAAATAATCAAAAGTGTTGACAAGGAAGAAGATACAGAATGGAAAACAAAGAAATCAAAATACTCTGTTACGCAGACGACACAATATTGATAGCCCAAGATGAAGATAGTCTGCAAAGACTGGTCCACAGATTTAACATAAGAGCAAAAAAAAATTAATATGACAATCTCCTCTCATAAAACTAAAACAATAGTAGTCAGCAAAGAACCAACCAGATGTAAAATAGAAATTGATGGCATAAGTATTGAACAGGGTATGGAAATAAAATACTAGATTGCACTGTCTAGCTATGGAGACTAGGAGAAAGAAATGAGAGATCAAGTAAAAAAGCAAATAGACTGGCAGGATGCTTAATAACAGTATATGGGCGAAACACACACATTAACACTGAGTTGAAATCAAAAGTTTATAAAGCCAGTGTAAGACCAATAATGACATATGCCTCAGTAACAAGACCTGACACAGCCACAGCACAAAGGCTACTTTAAACAACAGAGATGAGAGTACTGAGAAGAATCACAGGAAATACTCTGAGGGTTCTAAAGAGAAGTGAAGAAATTAGAAGAAAATGTAACATACAGTGTATAAATGAATGGACACAAAATAGAAAAAAAGAATGGAATAACACATAAGTAGAATGGAAGAGACCCATGTCATCAAAATAGCAAGAGATAAGACACCAATCAGCAGAAGAAGTATTAGTTGAATGACAATAGAGGTATTTTTTAGGCAATGAACAAGCAGAATAGCTTATAAAGGGGAAGAAGAAGTTCTTGTTTAGTAGGTGTTCAAAAATAATGTGTTTTACAATTGGAACGATCTCATTTAAACTTGGGCAAAATGAAGAGGGCTGAAGGCCTTCTGAGTATGTATATGAGCACATGGGAGTCTACCAAAAATTTATAAATCAATTATAGCAGGGTTTTAGGAATACATGTTCAGCTAAGCAACATCTAGATTGAAAATGTGTTACAATCTGCAGTTCAGATCGATTTTTTAGGTTTAACCAATAGAAGATAACCTACTTTCACACTCAGATGCCCTCCTATTTCTAGAGGTAATCAAACTCCATGATTAGAGTGGTGTCAAGAATATAAAGACTGGGGTGAAAGTGACTGGGTTGCTGTTTTAATTATTGATCCAGAGTTGAATTTCATCCAGACTCATGTCTAATAAGAATATAGGGAAGATCAGGAAATGTAGAGTGTTTACACATGTCCAGAAGCCTACACATACAGAGGTGATGAAACAATGGTATGGGGAAGAAGAATAATTATCTACAGCAGAACCACCTCGATTTTCCAAATTAGTGTCTGTTTGTAGGAGCTGTTACCAAAAGATTTCACTTTATGCATAATAATGCCAGTCCACATGTTGCATGTACCATGTCAAACTAGTTGATCAAACAGGGTATTGATGTATTGCTGTGGCCAGCACAATCTCCAGGTCTCAATCTGGAGACAAAAATCACTCCCCATATGGGAACTCAGTTATTACAGTAGAGCATCTATTATCAGAACTAATTGGGGAACATGGGTAGTCATCCAATTGTTTGTTAAACAATTGTTTTTTCATCAAGTGCAGTCTTTACAACAAAAAATGACGAAAATTAAAGATTTTTTTTAAGCATTAGTAGTTTACTAGCGGCTAGGTCACAAAGTTTTTTAAGAACAGGTTTTTTGATATCAGCATTGATGAACTGGGGCATTATCAAGAAGTAATGATGTTTCCTGTCTTTTGCCAGTTTTTAATTAATATGCTTAAAAGAGGATATATAAAAGATTCTATAAACCAATTTATGACCCAAAAGGTGCCCCAATAATAGTGGTTTTTTTTGTGATGGTTTCTATAGGGACTTTAAGTCGGATGACTATGTAAAAAATAACTAATTTTTTTATCACAGTTCTGTTGAGATAATTTATTTTTAAGAAAACCACTGAATCAAATTGTGAATATTTTTTATGATATACTTTACTTAGCTATAGAATTATTTATTCCCATAAAAAGGCATTTTAAAAATGTAGATTCCCTTCTTAGTTCTCAGCAGAGTTGAAGGATCTGATAGTTGAAAAAATGAAAGCCCACAAAAAAATATCTTTTATCTAAATCACTTCTGGATTATCACACTTTATCTCAGCTGAGGGCCAACTGTAAATTGTTAAAAGCTGAAGGCTACAGAAATCATACTTATTTAACAGAATTATCACTAGGAAATAATTTAAAGGGATTTTGGTTGTTTGTAAATTTACAGAGGGGAAAGCCTTCCTTGTCCTCTATGTTGAGTTATGGTGGTGTTGAATCCAGTCACGGACCAGATATTGTAAATCTTTTTGCAGAATATTTTTCTACAGTCTAATCCACTCAAATATGTGATATACCCAGTGATTCACCTTCACTAAATATCTGATATTTATTTAACATTATCAGAACTGGATGTGAATAAGGGTTGTGCTACTGATAGATTACCTCCCAGCTTTCTCAAGAATTGTTTGATATTGAATTCCACAATGCTGGAAAAATAGTTTTTTAACACCTATTTTTAAAGCAGGAGATAATTCATTGGTGAATAATTTATATGGCCACATAGTATAATACTAAATATATTTGAATGTTTTGTATGTGACTATCTTAAATCTTCACTTGAAAAACAGGTAGTAGACCAACAATTTGGATTTCAGAATAGCAGATCAACTGAATGTAATATGCTAGTGTTTGTGGCATGACTTCCTGAGGAAGGCCATGGAGAGGGGCTGTAGGGTACATGCACTATATGTTCCTCTTCACAGAACCAACTATGTGTATAATAATTTTTTATCTCGAGCACTAAGATGGGCAAATATTCACCCAAATCTAGATGTTTTGCACCAAAGGTCAAATTCATTTCTGATCTCCTACCTGTGTTTATTTGAGTAGCTGTGGAATAGGTAATCATCATTTTGATGTGTGAAATGAAATTACATGATTTACGAAAAAAACGAAAAAAAATGACATTGTTAATGAAAAAGTGAATTAAGTGATTAAGTTTGTGATATTTATACTTTTATTAAGTACTGTGATATTTATACCTATATTTTTTTGTTTTATTGTATACATTGCTAATATTATTGGGTAGCAGCCTATTGAAAATAAATAAATAACTAAATAAATAAACTGTTCCATGAAAATTGTACTATTCATCCAAATACTCTTTTGTAAAATGTAAATGATCACAGACATATTATGATATTAATGTGTTTAAAACAAGTAGTTTCTTGCTTTTACCAATGACAAGCACTGGCAAGCAGTTGTTACCAGTCCAATTAGCACAAGCTGAGGCAGTGATACAATCCTTGCTTATTTTAGGTCTAGGTGTTGCTAATTCACAATGTGATGCAAGATTTTTTCATGGCAAAGCTTTCCAGTTGAGTCAAGTTTCATCTAAATTATACATGTTTTGGAGGGCGTAATTTTCTTCCATCATAGGTTCTCTATAGAACCTTTTTGAGTAAATCACTAATATATAGCACAATCTAAATCTGCGTTTTAGCCAAGTTTCATCGTTTTACAACTTGTGGATTTGTCAAAAAAATCAAGCTGGGACATAAAGTTACTTATGCTCATCTTTTGTTGTTGGGAGCCGGGAGTTCAGATTAGTGGTCGTTTGGTTGATCAATGTTTGAATAATTGATGCTCTACTGTACATAAGTTAAATGACAATGAGTACTAGAAGACAAATGGAAATTTATATGTCATAACATTAGAGAGACAAATGATTAAGATGTACAGAGAAATAATTTATTGGAGACAATAAAGTGCCAAAGAATTAGATGAAGCCCAATTATGAGAGATGACAACTTGATGAAAGTATTTTTTATTATATTAGCTATAATGCATTTACTACAATGCACATATTCCAAATTGTTAGTCTTAGACAGTAACCTGCAGCTGACTAGAGATACGTTTATAACTGGGTCTACATTATTTACAATAGTATAATTACTATCACAAGAACTAAGTACAACTTAATAGTACAATAAAACTGATTCCATTTACCCTTTCAGCGTACATCCTTGATTCATTTGCTCTGGGAAAATTTAGTTCTATCCTTTCATGTTTTATAAGGGCCGTTACAGTTTTCCTTAACTTGTTTAGCCTCTCTTCAGGTCCAAGAGGATTTCTAAATTTTCTTAACCTAGGGTTTACTTTAATTTTTAATTTAGAAACTAGTTTTGTAACTTCTGCTTGATTCATTTTAGTATTTTATATGTTTTACTACTTGTAGGTTATATTATGTAAAAGGTTATCTTCATCTTCTCTTTTATTTGGATGTCATTCTCTTCTTGCTGTATTTTGCAAACTACAGAACACCATGTATTTTGACTTTCTGTGAAAGTGTAAAAACGTAGAGTAGGAACATGTTATTATTAAAAGAACAGATATAAATTTTAACTTTATTAACTTATCATTAATTCAAAATATTATCACATAATCATAATATTATCACAATAACTTAGTTTTAAATTAAAGGGATACTCCAGTTGTCAGAGACGAAAATGCCATTGAACCTCTAAAAATCATACGAACAAGCTGAATTTTGTCGAGAATATTAATTCTGGAACCCCATAAAAGAAGTAAAAACTTTACCACTTTTTCCCCGGACCTAAAAACGCAAAAAATAGTTATACCAAGAATGTGTACAACGTAGAAAAAAATGTTTCAAATAAAAAATGTAGCTGAGATAATTTTAAACAACAATGTTCATAAGCATTTTTTGTGTACCTAGAATAAACCGTTTTCTTAGAAACAACGCTTGGAGCAACCGTTGATTTTGCATGTCAGTTACGCGCGCGAAATCAATGTTAAATAAAATTTGTATCAGCTCGACGGTAAAAATTCGATATCTTTTGATTCAAGTGACCTATCGACAAAAATCAAGATAGAGTTAACCTTTTGTATGAAGTTTTTGTATTTTGCCGCAAATAAACTAAGATTTTATACAGGTGCTCAATAAATAAACGTGGCGCGATTTTTGCCTTTTTTATGATTCTCACGAGATCAATAGGTACAATCTATTACTTTTATTGACTGGCGACTATGAAGTTTCAATCACTAGAGCCTAACCTTTAAAACCTATAGCATGAAATTTTAGTTTGAGTTTTGGCAACAAATGTGGGGCACTTGAAATATGCTTAAAAAACGATGGATTTAAACTTTCACAAAACAAAGGATCTAAAACATTTAAAACTTTTTTTAATTACACTTGTACGTTTTTCAAAAGAGCAAAACTTCTGCAATAAACTACATTTTTCGTATTGGTTATGTTGTTATGTTTATTTTATTATCAAAACGTGTTACATTACGCTTTGTTAACGCGAAATACTTAAATGTTCATATAAAATGTTGAAGTGTGACACCAAGAAAATCCTGACATCCGGGCACAAGTTTGACTTAGCAGACAATTATATGAACATGGACGAAACCAGCTTGACTACTGTTCAAGAACTAATAAAGTAGTAGCTAGTACTGCTAGTAGCTAGCGGGGTTTTCAACAAATAAGTAGAATCGTATCCGTTTTCAAGAACACAATCACATTGATTTTCTTATAAAAGATACATTCTTAAGCGCCTAAAATTTGCCTAAGAGACAATGTAGTATATATAATGAACTAAACTTCATTTTAATAATTAACAAGGAACATTTAAAGTTATAGATTTAAATAAAAGCTTTAAATTGTTTTATTAATTTAGAATAAGAGATATTTTAAGCAAAATCAGTTACCAACAATATAAAATAAGTAGTTATTATAAAAAAAAATCAAACAACTAAAATAACGCTAACCTTATCTTTTGAAAATCCAAGTTTTGTGTAATAGATTTAGCTGGTCAATTAGCCAGGAATATCCAAGGTAAAAGTATAAATAATATCCTGTTGATGTTTTGAGGATGCATCTTGATTGGAAGCTTTCACAAGTCATTCAATAATGTCTTGCCTTTCGATTTCGTATGCTTTTATATGACTAAATCAGAAGTTTTCAGATAAGCCGATTTTCTTTAGGTACTTTAACTATTATCGCTGGAGTTAACGAGCAACATAAAAACGTACGCTTTTCTTTCCAACAAGCTTTGTTAGGTAGAATCTGCTAGTTATCCGTGTAATCTCCCAAGTGTCTGGGTCACTATTTTTGACAGATATTCTTCCAATTCATGTCTGACTCATGATCAGAAAAAGGATTCGAATTATCATCGCAAGACATACTTTCGACGTCGTCGTCGTCAGAAGGTGATGAGTTGTTGATATCCCTGGCTTGAGAAGAGACTGGTTTAGTCTTTTAAATTTTTTTGTCTAGTAAATGATGCTTTGTAGATTGGCTGTCCATAACTTTTTTTACCAGCTCTATTTCATATTTTTGTTCATTTTTTCCTCGTGTCTCTTTTCTTTTTCTGTCTTGTGAGTTGTACGGTGGCCCAGATTCATTAGTTATTTCGGCATATTTATTAAGGGGTCTGGAAGGAATAGATTCAATAATATTAGCAGGATTGTTTCTGTTGACGGCCAAAGAACTATAAAACTTACTTCTTGAAATATATACATTTTCATTTACCAGCCAGATCCCTGAATCTCTGAATCCGGATTTAATATTTGTGCGGTTAAATGCTAGTTTATATGCCAGATCAAAAATTTAAAGAACATCGTAAATAGATAGGGGAAGGGTGTACAAAATGACATAGTGGGGTATAATAACATAGTACTTGTATACACCGAATTCGTTGTTCAGGAGTGCTCAGAAACAAATATCTAATTGTGGCGTGGGTGCAGGTCTGAAATCTCTATACTCTGGGTATTGAGATTTTAAAGAGAAGTAACTGGCGAAATAGGAGAAAAATAGCAGATAAGAGATTTAAGACACCAATGAAGATTGGTGTCGAGAGATTTAAGACACCATTAGCTCAGAAGAACTAATCAAATGGGCAGAGAGACACTAGATCCCACGTGAGTATTTGGGCTAGCTTCAATGCACTGAATATTGGCTTTAGAGATATAAAAACAGATAGCTAGGGTAATGAACTGATGGAAACAAAAAATAAAATGAGACCTGTTAATACCAAAACTTAATATAACTAGATAAGACCACTGGAAATAGATCGATATGAAGAGGGACGATAAGTAGAGATAAAGAGGGCGCCAACTCAACAATAGTTAAGATTTTTGAAGTAACGATGATAGGAAATAATTAACACTAGATACAATCACCTGAAATACAAAAATACTCAATACTAACCCTGTTTTGCTATATTATATACTGATATCATCATCATCATCATTCCTCAACCTCTTGCATCCACTGTTGGATATAGGTCTCCTCCATGTTCTTCCACTGTTCTCTATCTTGCGCCTTCTGTATCCAATTTCCGACTGTTTTTTCTCAAGTCGTCCATCCATCTTTTTGGTGGTCTGCCTCGGTGTCTTTTGTCTTCTCTAGGTTTCCATTCTATGAGTTTTTTGGTCCACCTATTATCATTTAAACGTGCTATATGTCCAGCCAACTCCATTTGGCTTGTGCAATTTTTTCTATGACATCTGTCACTTTAGTCCTCTCTCTCTCACTATCCTATTTGGTACCATATCTCTTCTAGTTATTCCCAACATTGCTCTTTCCATTTTTCTTTGGGTTACTCTCAATTTATTTGCAGAATGTTTGGTTAAAGCAAATCGGTAGCGTTCCTTTTAGAGTATCTCGCATCTTGCCAAATGCTGCCCATCCCAAGCCTATGCGACGCTATATCCCACAAGTTTGATTGTCTTTTCCTATTCTAATTTCATGCCCTAAATAGATATAGCTAAAGACCTGATGTACTTCGTTCCATCTACCCTCATAACATCACTTGGAACTAAATTGGTCATGTATTTTGCTTTTTCAAAGTTTATGTTCAGGCCTATTTGTTCTATTGCCTGTTTTGGTTCTTCCATCATTTTGTGAGCTTCATTTAAACTCTCGGCTATAATGACAATATCATCTGCAAAGCGCAAGTGGCTTAAGTATTCACCATCAATATTTATTCCCCTTTTAGCCCAATCTAGTTTTTTAAAAGCATATTCCAGAGCTGCAGTGAATAGTTGGGGGACATGGTGTCGCCCTGTCTAATTCCTCGCTCAATTCTATATTTATCGGTAAAGTCATGGAGTTTAACAGATGCTGTTGCGTTGTTGTATATATGTATTATCAAATTTTTATATCTATAGTCTATTCGGCTTTGTTCTAATGCTCCTAATACTGCCGGTAATTCCACGGTATCAAAAGCTTTCTTGAAGTCTATGAAAATCAACGTGAGTGGTTTATTATATTCAACACATTTTTCAATTAATATTTTAAGTGCTTGTAGGTGGTCATTTGTTCCATAACCTTTCCTAAACCCAGCTTGCTCCTTAGACTGATAGAAATCTAATTTTCGTTCTAAACGTTTTGTGATGATCTTGGTAAACCATTTGTAGAGATGTGACAACAGACTTATCGGTCTATAATTCTCTAGGTCTGATATATCGCCTTTTTTGTGTATTAGGATAGTAATTGCATTGTTCCATTTTGTAGGGACAATACCTTGGTTTAGACATAGGTTGAATAGTTCAGTCACTACTTCCAGCAGTTTCTTGACTCCTACTTTAACAGCTTCTATTACTATTTGATCATCTCCCGGAGCCTTGTTGTTTTTCATTTCCTTTAGAGTTCGTTTCACTTCCTCTATCGTTATGGTAGCCAGAAGTTCGGATCCTTGGTTCATTACTCTGCGTTCTCTAATTTGTGTTTTGTCTTTTTCTGTTTGTAATGAAATGCAAAACCTTTATAAACTAGGTTTTAATATACAAGAAATTAGCATTGTTTTGTTTGAATGAATAACATGACAATTACATATGACATTAACTAAAACTAAGATGACAAATGACAAACACAGTTCACAGACCACAGGACATTCACCCCAACTTTATTTTTGAACAAAGTCTTTAAGGTAAGCAGGAGTGTTTCTTTCCCTGGTACCTCTTCTAATAAGACTGTGTTTATTTTCTTCCTCTAAAACACTTTCAATATGACCTTGATCTTCCAGAATGTTAACAGGAGAAATATTTGGATTTTCCTCACATATACTCAATCTAGGGCTTGGTGGATCTTTGATAAACTGTTCATTAGAAACCGCAGATTCCGATCCACTAACACAGTCCAGAGATGCATCTCCTCGTGGTGCAAGTTGTCTTAAGGC